CTTGTATATGACCCTTTCAATGAATGTGACATCTCGATTTATGATGATGTTTTTGTTCTTATCATCCCAAAACAATACCCAGACTAATCTACACCATATCTAATTAAGTATACTTTCGTGATTTGGGGTCAACCTTACCCCGAATTTCATCACTAATATGTACATATGCAACACGGCCAAAAACTTTCAAATGAGAAAGTTTTATTTATTTTTCACTCCATACTTCTTTCGATATCTTGTACTCCAAAGGAACTGATGGTCCATGATTGATTAAGTACACTGCTATGTTGACAACTTTAGCCCAAAATTGTTTAGCCAAACCTGCATGTAATCGTGTCATTCTGACTCGCTTTGTCAATGCTTGATTCATTCATTCTGCCACTCCATTTTGTTGCGATTTTCGTGGCAACATCCTCTCTAATTTGATATCATTCTAATTACAAAACATTTTGAAATCTGCTTGTTTGTACTCTATGCCAGTATTTGATTTCAATTTCTTTATTCGCTATCCTGTTTCATTATCCACGATGGTCATCCCATAATTGGAAGCCATCCAAATATCACCGTTGAAGGTTGTGACACAACCTTCATTTGATAGTTGTCCCAAAGATATCAAGTTTTTTCCTCAAGTCCCAAATGTGTCTTACATCCTTTAGTTTCCATACAGATCCATTAAGCTTGATTTGTACTTTGCCTTTGCTACTACTTCTCAAGGTTGATCATCATCAAGAAATACCTTTCCCAGATTGCCCGATATGTAACTCGTAAAGAGTTCTTTGCTTGACGTAGTGTGAAAAGATGCTCCAGAATCTAGTATCCAATATTCTGCTTTTCTTTCCAAAGAGCATATCAAAGCATCATCTGATTCTTCCACTACAACATTGGCCTCATTCTTGTTTTCTTTTTCTTTCTTTAGAAACTTGGCATTGATTTTTGTGGCGTCCGGAATTGCCACAGTTCCAACATTCAACAAATTTTGATTTGTTGGAATTCTTTGGACTTCTGGACTTTGATTTGCTAATCTTTGACTTGCTCCAGTTATGTCCTTTACCTCTATTGGAAATTTTGCCTCTGCATTTCCTCTTCAAAGCGACTCTCGAAGTGGAAACGCCTTTTTACTGTCTTCGAATTCCCTTGGTCAGGATCATACTCATGGCATCCTCAAACTTCAACTTGGACTTTTCAGTAGAGCTACTTGTTGACCCGAAAAATGCATCAACAGAATTTCAATCTTGTCCCCTCCACGTGAATATCACCTACACACTGAACACTTCGTTAGAAAGCAAAGGTCGTTGGTTGAAAAAAAGGTTCGATGACCGTTTACATATTAATGGTCAAGCTGACAGCCGGACAAGAAAAAAATGTAAAAGTGCAAGAGACGAAAATGGGATTTGATTAGGGTTAGGAAACATACCTTAATGAAGTTAATTTACACATATATATAGGAAAAATGTAAATGCGCCAAGCCCAAGATGCAAATGTTTAATTAAAATAGGCCCAATCAATGAATAGTAGAGGCCATGTTAGTTTATATGGGACCTCATCCGTCACGCGTATGCCATGTAATTTATGGATATAACAATAGTCCCCATGTCTGAATCGTATATTTATATACGAGTCAGACTTGAAATATGAACTGTCAAGTAGGCGAGGTTTGACAAATTGCCTCAGAAAGTATGAGTAGTTCTAATAAGCGAGGACTTATGATTCGAAAATATATATCGATCTCAAATAGGCGAAGACTTACGAATTGCCTCGAGAATATAAGTTGCTCCAATAATTGAGGCTTTACGAACTACCTCAGAAAATATGTGTGAGAGCCTGAATAAGTGATGATTTATGAATTGCCCTGAAAGATAGGTACTGTATATCATTTTTAAAAATTTTGGCAGCATCTCCTCTGTAATATGGACTAAACTAACCTATAATACAATACAATATATCTAATGCACATATACAAAATAAATTTGGGGTTCATTTGTCCCTCCAAATAAGGTAAAATGATGATCATATCAAACTTGCCGGTGTGAAGTAACATGATGTCTGTAAAATGATAATGTAGATAACGTGTCATACGTACTAGAAGTAATGAAAATAGTGTCATTGGTCATGAGACATGCGAGTAATGATGTGACGTGAGTATTTGGCAGCCATAATATAATGCATACGCTAACAGTATTCACAATAGTTTCCCAAGACTTAGTCGAATATTTATACACGAGTCGGACTTGAAATATGAGTCACAGTGATGAAACTAATACAGAGGTGATGCTCTAAACATAAGCAGTTGTATTGATATTGATGATACTAATGTAGAGGCTGACTTTAAGTTGAATATAATAGCAGAGACGGTGCTCTAGAAATAAGCATTACAGGCGATGCTCTAGATGTAAGTAGCTGAGGCCATGCTCTGAATATATATAGATGTGATAAGTTTGACATCCTTACATAAGGGTGACACATCCATGTCAAGGGCTTTCTGTGAGAGGCTTCACACTTGTAAGGTAGCAAGGTGCACACCCTGTGAGAGGCTTTACACTTGTCCTTGGCGAGGCTTTCTTTAATTATTTTATTTTATTTTTTACCTACTTGCAAAAGGTTTATTGTTATGTGCAAGGACTCTCTCTATGGTGTTTGATCCAGCCATGGAAGGCTTCATCTTCATAGGTAATAAAGTGGGTCCACCCCTATCCTTACGAAGCGGTAATTGACATCCTTGCATGGTGGATAATTCATCCATGTCAAAGGGCTTCTTGTATGGTGGATGGTTCATCCATATAGGGGATAACGTAAACTCTTTACAGATAAGTATATGCGCCATTGCTGAAGTAGAAGAAAAACTCTGAAAGATAGATAGCTGTAATGTAAAGGCATGATGAGCTCTCTAAAAATAAATGCAGCTATAATGCAATAACTCATATGGTGAGGCATCTCACAAATGAGGAATAAATATCAAGCTGGTGGATCATCTCGAACTATCAAAGTCTTATAAATGACTTTGGATAGACGAGGGCTTACAACTAAACTCAATGATAATGAAACACTGGAAATAAACATCTCGCAAAGTCAAGAATAGGCATCCGACGAGACGAGAAATAAACATCGCTTATAACTCTCGAACTATCAAAGTCTTATAAGTGACCTCGGATAGACGAGGGCTTAGAATTAAGCTTGACAATAGTGAGCGATGAGGAATAAAAATCTCCCGAAGTTAATAATAAGCATCTGGTGATGCAGGGAATAGACATCCCGGGTATAAGGCTAGAAAAGGCTCCTTTTGCAGGGACAAACATGTCTAGCAATTTGCCTCTTCATTTTTTCAAGGAACAATGAATTCAAAATATACCTCCTCTTCCTTTATTCAAGGAAAGGGGACTCCAAGATGTTACCTCTACCTTTACTCAAGGAACAAGGACTCAAAGATATCACCTCTTCCTTTATTCAAAGAATGAGGACTTTAAAATACTGTCTCCTTCCTTTATTCAAGGAACAAAGACTTCAAAAGATGTCATCTCTTTAAGGAACGAGGACTTTAAGGTATCGCATCTTCCTTTATTCAAGGAACAATGACTCCAAGATGTGACGTATGATATTAAGAAATCCACGAGTTAGGATTTGCCTTAAAATATGTAAGGTCTTACAAGCTAGGCTCGAACATGGGAGGTCCAGGAGTTTGCCTTGAATAATAGTGATGATGATAAAAATGGCCTCCTAATAAGAGAGATCCGAGCTAATCATTTTGTTGAACACTTGGTGTGCATAATTGTGATTTTTAATTTTCTATCCAGATTGTAATATGTTGTCTTGAGAATTTAATAAAGAAGGCAATAGAAGCACAATTTGAATACTCACCTTAAAAATCCATGCCAGATGTATCATTGGCAAGTCTTTGGATGTAAAGATAAGAGAGTAAATAATTTCAACCATTAGTTCAAGCCCCATCACCTTATCATTAGAATTTCGAACACTCCTTCCATTACCCAAGTAGAAAGCTGAGAATTCTCAAATTTATAGTAGAAAGACGGATACTTCTAAAAATACTCCAATCTAGTCGACAATTCATGGCTCGATTGTACCAATCCAGATTAACAAAGAAGATATTAGGTGCACAATTTACGCCCCCTCTTTCGAAAGGCAAGCGACATCGACAAATAATTTTTAGTGACAAAATCAACCTATAGCATTAATTTCATAATCTCAAACAATCTTTCTTCACACAAGTAAGAGCATAGAATAAACAAGATTCTATTAAGTCATCATATCAGCCCGTAGGATGATCATTTTATAGTGAAGAATGGAGGTGGCATTTTATATGCCTTCTGCACATTAAAAATTAAAGACAGCAAACTCTTGAATATGACATCAATCTGTATTGGTTATGCCAATATTTTCTTTGAATTTGGGTCACCACTAGAAAATATATTAGCAGAAAAGCCTAATCTTAAGTTAACCATATCTAGCTTCATGGTCCATTTTCCTTATAATTTTGACCTCAGTTTGTAGGCTGTAAAGTGGAATAAAGGGCAACACAAAATGGAACATTCTAAAATATTAGGCCAAGAATATTTAAAAGGTTGGCCCATAAAAAAGAAAGAAGTTCCAGCAGAATGGAATCGTCTAATGGGCCCAAATACGTGGAACATAATGCAGAATCATCATTTTTGAAGTCCAAACTAACCTGTACCTGTTTCAACTTTTAACTTTGGATGAATCACGAGACAAGAGTACCAATTAAGCTGTAAACTCTGTCATCTTTTTTTTTTTTGCCAATCATGATGCACATTCAAGTTTAAATTTAGATGGGACACGTGTTGATAAATAATTGGATAATTTGAAAAATTAAAATAAAAACACTCAATCATTTTTTAACACATTAGTCAGTCCATTCACTCTCCGTTTTTAAGTCTGACTAAGTGGCTTTATTTTTTTTTTTTTCTCTTCTACCATACATAATAGCTTACAAAAGTTGAATAGACAGCATATCTTGGTCCAAACACGCCACCACCATTATCCCGTCGCTATGACAATTTAATGTGGCGAGAAAACCGGACCAAGCACTATATTATGGGCAGTATATTGAAGGGTGCCGGACCAAACGGTGGTGGCTGGAGGTTATGGAGTTTTCGACTGTAGTTAAAACCAAAAAGTGTAACTCATTTCTTCTTCAATTGGTAATTGAGCTGTTTAATTTGAAGCTTGATTGTATTGTTAACCATAGTCTCTAATTTTCTGTCATTTTTCACTTGCTCCATTTATGCGTATTAGGCGATATTGAGTTTCTTTTCGCCAAATGTCCACAACAGGACTAATAATGGCCTCTATTTCTAATCTTTGTTGCTAAATTTTTTAATGCTTGAAGTATCAAACAACGGTGGTTCACCTCTTCATTTTCATCTCTTCCCGAGTTTTTGTTGGACAAATCTATATGTTGATGTGTATTGCATAAATCCACATTTTCTTGATTGTGGTCTTCTGTGGTTGCCTGAGATTAAAGAGGGAGTTTTTTCATTTCTATTATCCGTTTTGGTTGAATGAACTCCTCGAAAAATCATCCTTTATCGTTAGCGTTAGCGTTAGCGTTAGCGTTAGCGTTTGCTTTTTTTTTTTTCTTTTTATATAGAAATTGACCAAAATATTATCTTTTCCAGTGGCTTTCTGGATGTGGTAATAACATGGTTAATGTACCGATTCCTACAGATTGCGCCAATTTGTTGACCCAAAAAAATGCGTCAACGGAATCCGACGTTGCCCCTTCCAAGTAGACATCATCTGTACAACATAATTCGGTTAGTCATTCGACTTTTCGTGAAGTGGTTTATACAAATGCTTCTGGTACGAGTAATCCTCCATTCGTATCTTCCAGAATCCAAAGTTTGTACCACAAACTTGTCGATTTTGGATATCTTCTCGTCTACAGCCATTGCTCCCACTCAAATTCTAGAACTATGATACCAGTTGTTAGGAATTAGATCCTAATAATTTTGCCACAATCAGTGAGTGGGACGCAAAATAATTTAAATTAAGAAGAAATTAAATTAGTAAAAAATAAGTGTTGCCTACATTCACAAAAGAAAAGAAGATGAATACAACAATACACTCTCTATATTTTATTTGCCTATGTAGAGGCAATCTCTCAAATTTCTTTTTCGCTCTTGCGAAATTCTCGGCACTTCACTCTCTCCACTTCTGCACTTTTTAAGTTCACTTTGCATAAATTTTCATTCATGCATCCAATTTATAGAGATTTTTTTTGGAGACTTAATCTTTCTCCTTTTGAGAATTTGGATGTAATTTAAAATGAAACATGATTATTAGAAGTAACAAATTTAATATTTTCGTTAACAAAATGTAATTATTTATGTAGTAGTAAATTAAATAAATAAATAATTTTTTCAGATATATAAATTGTTAAGAACAAAAAAAAAAATGAAGAAAATGATTAAACACTGCTCATTTGGTGCAACTTTTGGTGCAACGGGTTGGAGTTGATTGTTAGTTTGATGCAAGATTTAGTGTAAAACGATGCAAAACTTATCTCAAATTTTGGTGCAGAGTTAGATATGGCCTAAGACCTAATGATCACACATTCTTACTCTCATAGCACTGAATAGGGATCCTTTGTAAAATATAAGCATTTGAATTGTACCTATGATCAACTCTAACTATATGTCTACCCACAGAATGCTATAATCATAAATTCCTTCAATTATATTTCAGAAACTTTTATGTGGCAGGAGATTGATCTTTGGTCCAAATAAGGCATCATGCCTTTTATCGACATTCTTGATACGAGCCCCTGCATTAACACTCTGTATCAAAATGCTTATGAGGATTCGAGAAGAAGACTTCCTTGTATCGGAATGCTGTATTGATAGTGGGACCTGTCCTCACAATTTTCGTTTGTATTTTTTTGTTTCAAGGGGGCCAAAAAAAAAAGAAAAAAAAAATTAGGTTTTTGGCCTTAAAAATGAATGAATTGTATGAAATGGTGTTTATTTTATTATATCAAGACCAGAAGCATATATTTTCTTATATAGAGGTTTATAATGAAGGATATATATTGTGTACAAAGAAAGAATCAGACTAAAGGGAAAGAATAAAGATTAAAAGGAATGAAAGAAGAAAACATGCTGTAATCAAGCCTCTTCCTGTAATCAAGTAATCATATCTCTTCCAATATGGTATGTCAACTGGTATGCTTTCTGTTAGTTTCCTTAACATCCCCAGCCCCTCGCAAGCGAATAGGGGGAGACAAACCATGAGCTTGGCCTTGAGAAAGAGAAACCGAGGAGAAGTAAGTCCCTTTGTGAAAATATCAGCAATTTGGTCATATGTAGAAATAAACTTAACAACAACATCCTTATTCAAAACTTTCTCCTGAATAAAATGACCATCTACTTCCACATGTTTTGTGCGAGCATGAAAAATGGGATTGGAAGCAAGGGCTATTACCCAAATTATCACACCAAATAGTTGGAACACATGTAAGATGAACTTGTAAATCTATAAGTACCATCATAATCCAATAAAGTTCGGCAACAGTCAGTGCTAAAGCCCAATATTCTGCCTCAGTGCTTGATCGAGCAACAATCGATTGCTTTTTATACCAAAGCCTGAGGTGGAGCGACGGTCATCCGGATCACCCGCCCAGTCAGAATCACTAAATGCTTGTAAGTGAAGATTTCCCTTGGAGAAAGTAAGACCATGATCAATCGTACCTTTAAGATAGCAAAGGACCCATTTGGCGGCCGTCCAATGAATAGTAGTAGGAGTGTGAAGATGTTGGCAAAGCTGATTGACAGAATAACCAATTTCTGGACAGGTAAGAGTGCAATATTGGAGATCACCAACAATCTGACGATATTCAGTGGCATGAGGCAGTGGATCACCACTAGAAGTAGCAAGCTTCGAACCTAAGGTACATGGTGCCGAATATGGCATGGCACCAACCATATGAACATGTTCTAAAATGTCTAATATGTATTTGGATTGATGGAGGTGCATGCTGTGAGAGTCACGGGTGGCCTAAATTCCAAGAAAATAATGAAGGGAAGCCAAACCCTTCAAGGTAAATTCAGATTTTAATTGCTGAATCAATGAGGCAATGAATGAGTTTATGTGATCCTGTATTAAGAATGTCATCCACATAGACCAAAATAAAAATATGAACATCAGTTTGGTGATAAGTAAAAAGAGAGTGATCAACCATGGATCCCATAAATCCGAGTTCCAACAGACATTAAGAGAATCGATTAAACCAGGCTCTAGGTGCCTACTTTAATCCATAAAGGGCGTTATTAAGATGACATACATAATCTGGATGTTGTGAATCAATGTAGCCTTGAGGTTGAGAAATGTAAACTTTTTCATCAAGAGTACCATGAAGAAAGGCATTAGACACATCCAATTGCTTGATATCCCATCCAAAGTGTACACCAAGAGTCAAAACAATGCAAACAGTGGCAGGTTTGATGACAGGACTTAGGTCTCAGAATAATCAATGCCACTAATTTGATTATATCCCTTAGCCACTAAGCGGGTTTTTCGACAATCGAGAGAACCACCCTCCTTTTGTTTAGTCTTACAGACCCACTTAGTGTCAATAAAATTATGACCAATAGGTTGGGGACAAAGGGTCCACGTGTTGTTGGCAAGTAAAGCAGCATATTCCTCATCCATTGCCTTTTTCCACTATGTAGAAACTATTGCTTGTGAGAAATTCAATGGTTCTTTAGGTAAAGAAATTGTGGTCAAGGTAGATTAAGATGTCGGTTCAAGTAGTGGGTAACGAAATCAAGGAATTGCTTGGGCCGTGAAAAACCAGTTTGTGATCTTGTTACAATCTGTTAGGAATTGAAATTGAATCAGTTGAAGGTAACGACGATGATGTGGATGGGTGAAAGGAATCCGTGACTATAGGAGAAATGATTGATTGAATGGGTGAAGAATCTTCCACCAAGTGAAAAGAATTTCCATAGGATATAAGATATGTGGAGAGTCGAAATTATTGGAGTTAGATACTTGCTCATGTGGGGAGTGATGGGAATCGATGGTAGGAGATATGGATTCAACGGGAGAAGAGTGATTGTGCTCAAAGGGGCTGCTTGGAGGAAATCTTGGACACGCAATGGGTGAGAGATCTTTCGGTAGACGAGTGACAATGGACATATCCTTAGTTAGAAAAATTTCTCATAAAACACTACATGTCATTAATAGGTATACTCTCTTTGAGATGGGATCAAGACATCGATAACCTCTATGATAAGATGAGTAGCCTATGAAGATGCACTATTTATTGCGAAAGGCGAGCTTGTTTGTATTATAGGGTCTAAGGAGAGGGTAACAAACACATCCAAAACATTTTAATTGAGAGTAATCAGGTGGTCTTTTGAAGAGAAGACTGTAAGGAGAGTTAGTAGTCTAAGGCTTGGTGACTTGTTTTTCCACAAATCTAACAGGGATTGCAAATATGAGAGTTGCCATTCCCACTAGGCATCATATTGGATGGCCCTTCTTGTGCCTTTGAAGGTCCTCCTTGCGGATGAGGAGACTTTGAAAATTTTGGTTTGAATGAACCTTGCCTTGGAGAGCTTTTAGGAGGATAATTTGGTTTGTTACGCCATTGTCCTCCCTCATGTGAATTTCTACCAGCAATCATAGCAAATGTTGGTTGTTCCATAGAGGATAAGTGAGCTTGGTTTTCAATCATTATCTCATAAGAAAGTAACTGTGATTGGAAGTCATCAAAACTCATGGCACTATATTGCAAGGGAAACAAAACGGCTGTGACAAAAGGATTAAAAACTAAATTCAATCCACTCCACGTAAGAGAGAAGATCATTCTCACTTTCTGGCTTACCACTAACTGCAAGCTGATCGGCAAGGGATTTGGCAACAGCTAAATATTCAGTGTATGTCCTATTTCATTGCTGTAGTATTTGTAATTGACGCTTGAGACATTGCACATGGGCCGGCGAGTGCGACGCATATCGCTTGGCCAAAGAGTCCCACACTTGTTTGGCAGTAGTGAGACCAAAAACAGAAAGAAGGTTATCTGTTAGAGTGGCATTTAGCCATCCTATGACAAATTGACCCTTCTTGATCCACAAAACATATTCAGGATTAATATCCTTGGTAGGCTTTCCTTCGGAGTCACGAAGAAATTTCTCCGGACAGGGTTCAGAACCATCCACAAATCCAAGTAAATCATTGCTACATAGAACATGTTGCAGCTGTGAGACCGAGTTAAGATAATTGGTACCATCCATCTTCACCGAAACCAACTGAGAAAATTTCGGTTGAGAGAAGACCAATGAAAGAGTAGGAGTGGAAGTCATTGATAATAATAGGACAGGAACTTGTTTTAGCTTAAGCTATAAAAGCTCTGATACCATGAAAGAATTGTATGAAATGGTGTTTATATTATTATATCAAGACCAGAAGCCTATATTTTCTTATATAGAGGTTTACAATGGAGGATGTATATTGTGTACAAAGAAAGAATCAGACTAAAGGGAAAGAATAAAGATTAAAAGGAATGAAAGAAGAAAAACATGCTATAATAAAGCCTCATGTTCTAATCAAGCCTCTTTCTATAATCAAATAATCATATCTCTTCCAATATGGTATGTTGACTGGTATGCTTTCTATTAGTTTCCTTGACCAAAAATGTTTATTTTATATTTGAAGGAAAAAAAAAAAAAAAAAAAACCTTCGCAGGATTTGATCTTTCTCTTCATGACATCTTCAAGAGATACGGGAATAATTCCTATAAACTCACAGCTGCCTAAATCAGATGAATCACTTTTTGCTTCATCTGTGGAATGGATGAACAATGCAACTCTTGAAACAAAACTTCCTAGAACAGAGGACATTTTTGTCGATGGACACATAGTTAAAGTGAAGTTCTATGACACTTGTTTGTTATATTGTCCACCATTGCTCTATCTGCAACAATTGAATCCAGAGATTTGATCATCATTGTCCATAGGTGGGTCAGTGTATTGGAGTTGTAAGTCTACCACTTATAGTTTATGCTAAGAAGTTTTCATCAATTTTCATTTATAATTTTAATGCCTCTTTGCTTTTTATCACTGAAAATGAATTTTGCATCTCCCAAATATTACTTGTGTTTTTAAGGGAAGGCACCAATCTTGATTACCCAAAATTCTAAATCTTTAGTTTTGTCTGGTTCTAGGTCACAACTAGCAGCAATTTAATCTTTAGTGGCATGGTAGTTTCTCAAATATACCTTGAAAGGTCGTAAATGATTGTATTTGGTAGTATGCATTTGGGACCTCGAAAGAGAATTTGGAAATATAAATTCAATATCTATTTAAGTTTTTCAAATACTGATTTTGAGGTATTAGACTTTGATGTGGTTCTTGATAAAAAATCGTCTCCACAGTGTTTGTTGGGACTTTCGTCTCATTCATATCGACATCAACAATCTTGTGCATATATGTTTACACTTTTTCCTTTTTGAACCTCCTTAAAGAATAGGGAGGCATATGGGGTGCCATGTCAAGGGACGTTGTATCAGTCATTCTAATGGCTTACTGCTTCGTTGTGGTATGTTTGTTGGTGGGCTTAGCGTCTTTCATTTCTATCTCATATCCACAAGCAAGGTTAGCTTTTTTCTCTTCATAAACTAATGATGTTTCGTGTCCTAAGAGTTATGAAATCCATATGTTGTATGAAGATTAGTTTTTCTTATTATAATTTCAATCAACTTATTTAGCCCGTTATTGATCCCTCATTATTTTCAAAATACAATTTTCTTACTTCTTTTCAATCATACTGATACGAATCCAAAGCAAGGCGGTTGGGGAGTATCTGATATTTTTTGTTCTTTCTCAAATAAGTTAGTCTGTTAGTTTGTTATCAAATTCCTACTTTAATGGATGTAAAAGTT